CGGAGTTCTAGATGCACACTTCCACAACTACGAGTAACTCGCACTGTATTTCATACCAAATTAATTTTACGTAGGCACGCGTGGCCGAAGTCATTTCTGCATAAACTCAGTTATAACACAAGCAAGTTTTAATAAATCTTTAATGGATTCTGTGCCATTCAGTACGTTCGGGGTTTTTTTAGAGACAATAAGCTCAGAGTCGGAATTACAAATGCATTTGTCGATATTTGCGCTCTGGGTAGTAAAGCCATGTGGACTTCTTGATTGATACCAACGGGTTTGAATATCGGGGCAGTACGTACTTAATAACGGAGTTATTACCCAAAAGACCAACGTTAAAATCTTCATCATCGACGTGGACCTCAAGTCTGAAAGGAATTTACGTTTTTCTCTCTTTTTAATATTTGTCTTGTGGAATAAAAGATACTTAAAACGCGGCTAAGAGAGAGACGTTCCTACTGTTTTAATTTCTGGTTTTTATTGAACGTTTTCAGGACAAGTTAAAAGTTGGACTTGATTCGTGATACCCGTGGGTTAAATCTATTTTCATCAACAGAAATGGGAAATGAAATAGAATGAGATTGTGTGGTTTGCATCTGTTTTACTCAGGACTGAGACCATTCATTGACCGCCTGCTAAGCTCGAAAGGAAACTTATGTTTCATCAGACGACTGAGGCCTACCTTCTGTTCGCATTCACAATTGTACTATCAAATACTTTTAAAACAGCGCTCGGAATATGACAGTGTAGACATAACGTAACCATTATTCACCATGCAAAATAAATTACCATTGAGACATATTCTTCTTATGATTAAGAAGAAATGCATCTGGAATGCTAGTAGCTATGACCCTAACCAAGTTACTTCATGTAGCAGAGTTTGTACAACCTAGCAGTCGCTCAGTCACTCACTAATTTGAAAGCGAGGCTACATTACCGCGTTCACAACAGCCCGCCACTACACCGTATCCGAAGCCAGATAAATCCACTACATATTTTCAATTTATATTCATTTAACATCCATTTTAAAATCATCCTCAGATCTAGGTCCATTTCTTCAAACCTATCTCTTCCGTTAAAGGTTTCAGATTAAAATATATTCATTTCTCATCCTTCCGAGGTTTGCCACATGCTCCGCTCACTACATGCTCTTTTGGCCACACAATACGATGTAAGTATAATAATCTCATCACAGGAACAATTTTCTCCACCCTTGAGTTACTTTATTTGTATAGAGTCTAAATATTTGCCTTAGAGTAGTGACTCTGATTACAAGAAATAAATACGGAGATTCTAATGCTTATCACTCTCTTCATCAACGTACTTATCAGACCTGAAGTTAAGAATGAGTAGGAGCTATAATACCTCTCCCCCAAAGCGCCTCCATGGCATATAGTAGGACAGCTTTAGTTTTACCCTTCTGACACATTCACTTGGTCCTAGACATCCGCTTAAGAGACTGAAGTAATTACCATAATTTCTGAGTTTAATCTAAACTAATTTCAATTCTATAGACAATATCACAATTCCTTTCCTTCTTTTAATTAACATTATTTATGTCGATATTTGTTTCAGGACTATAAGGCCGTGTAGCCTTACAGTCGTCTTACAAAGTCGGGTGGCGATGGAGGCAGTCTGTTCCTCCGAAACGTATTTACCTAAAAGCCCCACGACATTTTAACCCTGGAGACCAACAGAGTTGTGACCCTCGAATCCCGTATAGTATTAATATTGTGGTCTTCTGGGTTGTTGCACCATGCAGCTATTATGCTGCTTCAACGACCCAGACGGCATCCATCAATTATTATGGAGCGTACTATTTAGTAAAACTCCATTACACATTATTAAAAATTCCAGGCATATCACCAAAACAATCGCGTAAACAAATTTTTTGATTTAATTTTTTATTAACTTCACTACACACATAATTCGGGTGGTAACCAGCCTACTTTTATATCGTACAGGTGACAAGATATTTTAGAACACCTGAACTATTATTATAATATTATTTTCCTTCAGATGACCTGTGGCTTATAATACACTCCCAGAGCCTAGTCATGTCTGTTGCGAGACAATGTATATATTGAGAAGAATTTTGTGTCATCAGAAAATTATTTCTTGCAATAGGTTCAACACATGGCGACTCGAACTACAACCAGTAGCACGATAAATAATTATAACTACTTGAAAAGACCCGTTTAAGTTTAACGTGGAATGATTTCTTTCGTATTCTTATACTTTATTCCTTTGCCATACCGATCAACTTAACCAATACAAATATTGTAGGATTTGAGGTTTTCACGACGGTGCGTCTGAAGATGGCTGTCTTCTGGGTTGTTGCGCCGTGTAGTCTGGTAGATATCCACCAACGTTTCAGACGTACTTGCTACCTCCATCATAAGGGCGATGTATAATCATCAAACTAAACGGAGCATCAACCCAGAAAACAGCAATCTTCAATACAAATATTAGAGTACATAATACGTTATTTTAATGTTTACGTTATCCATATAAGAATTATTTCTAAAAGCGGCCTAATGGTAACAAAACTTGTAATTTTTTAATTTTTGAAATCTAGAGCTATTACTGAAAATACTCAGGGTTCTTTGAGCGAAACCAAATATATATCAAAGCAAACAAACGCCGAAGTATGTTTTAAATACCTGATAAATTTATTATTATTATTATTATTATTATTGAATTGAATTATTTCTGTTTTTTATTGTTTAATGTTTTCTCTTAGTATTATTTAATTGAATTATATTATAAGATGATATAGTTGCGTCATATTGTGAAATTTAATTAATTATTCGGTTTTTGTCCGTCTAATCATAGGTGTAAAAGTTAAAATTATAAACTTAAAACTTAATTACAATTTCTGATATTCAACATTTTGGTGATGTTCACTTCCAGATTCATTTTTATATTGGAGTGAATGTTTTTTGATGTTCTACATCGGCCTGTAATACAAATTATTTAAAGAAATATTAATGAATATGAAAGAATATAGAAACAAAATAATATATTGGAAAGTAAAATTGAACATACCAAAGATGAGAGTGTAGATACATCTTAATGTGTCTGGAAGCACTAACGTATCTGAACAGATGTGGCTCACTACTGATGCGGTTGCTTGTAGGGAAGGTAAGTGAAAGGTGGTTGTTGGGGGTGGGGTCAAGCTTCTGAAGGGCATTAAAGATGGGGTTATTAAGGTAAATATTATTATCGTTTAGGCAAAT